GGGGGCGTGGCCTGATATCGGCCACGCCCACTTTCGATGACGTCTGCCAATGATCAGGCTCGTAGAGGCTCGGCGGCCACGCCCCCGGGCTCGATACGGCCAACGCGATTGGTCCGTCCGCGCAGACCACGCTCACGTGACGCTGGTGGGGGTGGTTGTTTTCAGAATTTCTCACCAGAGGGGGGTTCGGGACGAAGTGGAGTGGAAGCCGATGAAGTGGTGTGAGTGGAACCAAGTCAGTCGCAGACTGGAGAGCCCTGAGAACAGGGGACGGACCGAACGAACTCTATAACTAATCGCTCGTAACAACGTCTGTCCGAACGTCCGTCCCATGAACCGGTGATTCCCTCGTTGTTCGTTGTTTGTTTTGTGTTGTCACGTCGGTTCGGCGCTTTTGTTTTCACGGCTGTCAACCCGAAAGAGGAAGATACTCTGGATCGACTGTGTTGTTCGTCGTTGTGAGACAGTTGTGCCCGGGGGTTTAATATCGTCTTCGCAAAGTGAATATTCGAGTAGGGTCAAAACACCCTTAAGAAAAAATATATATCTTGCAAGGTGTTACGTCGGGACGGTGACAATATGCGGTCCTGTCGACGAAAAAATCATCATAACAAAATAATGCCCTGATGGCACTTTATCAGTACGACCGATTCCTATTTACGGCACGGTCCGTATTCTCTCTCTGTCTTTTCCTCGTTAACGCTGTACCTTCGCGCATCACTGTTACGTATTGTTTTTCGATATTTAAGCGGATCCTTTCGTTCGGCTAGTCGATCTCCTCAAATTCGACGGACGCTCAGTGACAGTGCAGTGCGTGCAGGTGCGCTTGTGATTTGCAGTCGCGCGCGACAGAAACTCATAACAGTTGTCGCTCATCGTATTCGGTATGTCGGCTTACGCTCAATTCGGATACTCGTATCCGTCGGCTTCGCAGGTAAGCTCGACTCAGTTGAAAACAGAATTATTCACATAGCTATGTACCTATATCTATATCGGTCCGTAAAATTTCTCAAGACCGTATATGCAATTTACAGTGGAATCGTCAATAGAAATAATCTTATCGATCATCCTCGCTTATTGAACTTCACCACCCGTTATTTATTTTCCCAACCGATCCGTCACTGCAGACGCGTTCATATGTGAATATTCAAATACGGGTTAATCGCAACGACATCGCGACCAAATTGAATCGGTGCTTCTGACGCGAATTCAGTGCAAGCAATATACATTGTATAAGGCCTATGAAACCCGATAAAAAAAAAAATTACTCGTACCGTAGAAATGAAAAAAAAAATTTTTTTTAGTTTTTTTCAAAATTTTCGACATTATACCGAAAATTGCATATTTCTCGTAGCGATGAAAAATATGATTCCCAACGAAATATTTATTTTCCCCAAGTCGCATCTAATGGAGACCAATATCCAATTTTCATAAATTTGTCAATAGCACGTGTCAAAGGCTCTACTTGCAAGTCTGCTCACTTGCAATAACTAAATGTCAAAAACGAATTCGAGAAAGCGCATATCCGATTCGATAGAAAAACATCGGAAGGTACGTCTGCACCAAAGCGAACGGGTTTCCCGCATGCACCTGCCTGCGCAAGGCTGGGCGACGGCCGTCGCTGAGATCGCGCACTGGCGTCTCTGCGTTACTTCGGTATAAGGTTCGAGGATGGATAAAATTTTGAAAAAAAAAAAACATGAATAAAAACAAGAATTATTTAAATGAAAATAATACGAAACTTGGCAACAACGTAATAATGACTTTTTCCCATTGGCCACAATAATCGAAAGTCCGTCCGCATTAAAGCGACATTCCGATGGAGGCTCGTTTTTTCAATCGACCAATTCCACCGATCACTTGCTACCCTCGCTAAGATCGCGCTCCTCTCACATGGGAACTGTAAATGCCAGCTTGATCCTTCGGCCGACAAAGGTAAAAGGCGAACCGCTCATTAGCTTAGCCGGGTGCATTTAGCGAATCCCATGCCGCGAGTGTCGAGTTCAATTGTCTTTTTTCTCATTTCGTATTTCCCGCCACCGAACGTCCCGCCGAACGGCTTAACAGGTAGATTTATATTGGCTGTCACATTACACGTCCAACGGTACCGCTGCTCATCGCTCATCCAAAAATATACGATTCACCATACGTAAACCAGAGAGTGGGATCGATTTACGATCAATTCCTCAAATCAATATTTCGTTCGTATGCCAAAGTTAATTAGGCCAACTGTCGGTTTTTATCAAGCGACAGTCAGCCGCATCCGCGTATACATCGCGGAGCGATCTGTTACACGGCAATTCGCACGCTCGATTAATCTCCCACTGACAGATCTTCAACGGGCCTTTATACCGTGCTTCATTTATACGTTCACTATACAGATATAAATACAAACTCTTACACGAGCCAACGAACCATCGAAACCGGCAGGAAAGTCTCCAGGTGTCTATCGACAAAGAAAAGATATTTGAAATTCCCGCCTATTTGCTCCGCGCGTCGAAACTACCCGCGAACCATAGACCGTGCGCGTAGTTCTAGTGCCGGGCGAGGGATGCGCATGCGCAGAGAGTCCGATGGACAAAAAAAGTACACGAAACTTTGTTACAAGGAGTCAACGGTGCGAGGGTGCAGCTGCATTATTTTCTATGGCACCAAGGGGAACCCGCGACTCGATCAAGTCGTAGGCTACTTTTCGTACACGGTGTATAAGGTCGTTGCCAATTATCAACTTTCAAATGCACCAAATAGCGCCTGCACGATGCTGCTGCCACTTGCTCCTTTCCTTTTCTCGGGACTTTACAATCTAGGTACAGTGGCTATAGGGTGCACGACACTACTTGAGCTACGTTCATTCTCATTAATGTAGCTGCGTACGTACTTCGTTCCGGTGCATCGGGTCTATGCAGTTGCAGCGTTGCATAGGGATCCTCAGATTATTATAGTCAGGCTTCTTGCGATGCACATCGTGGCTGCGGGTAATTTACGGACGCTACGTACGTCGCTCGTGGCTAGACTATGGCTGTCCTCGTTTATCCGATAATTATTTGCATATTGGTGTATACCCTGCGGTCTTCTTAGTTAGGGATCGCGTTTATGGTTTTTTTTTTTTGGTACGTCCTGACAGATTCTCTCATCTCGCTGGCTCGTTATCGTTAATTCGTCTGATATCGGTACTGACCACCTATCGGCTTCTTGCCGAGGACTTTGCGCTGCAGGTTCTTCCTGCTGAAAGACACTCGGGTGTGCCTGCTTGTTACTTGGGAATCGACCTTTTGAGGCTGACGAACGGTTAACTTCACGGCGGATCGGCCGATCGGTAATTAATTTAGGGACACGCGAAAATCCAACACTTGGTTTCCCCTTGTGTATTGGAGAACTCGGTCGGTAATGCAGACTTTCTGCGAACCGGTTCGTAATTCAAGGGGTGCAATTCGTTGTTAGCGAAGGGCGTGGAGAATGTTGATGAATTTTATTTTTAAGAAATGCATCCTTTTATGGTTAATACACGGAGTAGGTGATTATGGAAGACAACATGGGTAGCGATTAAAATATGTGATTGGGTCGATAATGTATTCTGTACGGTAATATAAATCTTGCATGGCAAGTTTTTTTTTTTGGGCATTTCTTATGCGGTTTTTTATTTGATGATATATAGGTGTCGGTCGGAATTTATTTTGTGGGTTGTTAAAGTTATTAATTTGTTGAATAAAAAAAAGAGGACTGAATGGCAATGTGTCTTGGTTTAACAGGGGAAAAGATATGTGAAGCCAACTCATGTGACAGATCGCAAGGCGTGTTAGATTGGTTATGAAATATTTTTGAAAAATGTGAGAAATTAATTTTTTTTTATGCGTGGGAATTGATTTATTTCATTTGTATGTGCGAAATAGTTATTGTTATTTTTTTTTCAATTTGTGGATAAACTTGCTTCTCCGATTCATCACTTAACCCTAATAGCGAGCAGCATCGTTAGACGACTAACCTAACCTGGGGTTAAGCGTAGCTTCGTGAAATACGAATTAGCAAACGTCCTATTTGTGGAATCTCTGGTGACAATCGGCTGTTTTCATGCGCTGGGAAGAAGTATCGCGGCTTGGAAATGGCCTCTTAAAAGGTTCCGATGGGAACCAGGCTTTACTAGGTATGGAAGGAGGTTCCGTAGACGGTCTATAGGTAATGTCTGGATCGTATACCCAGTAGGAATCCTTTATCCGGCGTTACTCTTTTTTTTTTTATATTTTGTTAAAAAGAGAAAAAAATGTTGAAAATATCAAAATTGTAATTTTTGTCAAAAATTTCATCCGGACTAGTATCGTATGTCCGAAAATATGTGAAGCTCGCGAAACGGCGACTTAATGAATTTTTTGTTCACTTTTATCGCTACATGAAAATTGTATCCGACTAATTGGACTGTGTGCCTGAAGCTGTATTATAAAAACATTAAAGAACAAATTCATTTATTCCGAAACACCTTCGTAGCGTCAAACTAGAGATCGGTATCGGTCAGCCCGAGAAGCAATGACATTGCTTGCCCGTATAAGCGAGTAAACAGGCGTCGTTGTCGGGGACGCCTCGGGTCCCGTGAAAATTGATAAGGAGCAAAGTGGCTAATTAATTAGACACAACAGAAGCATTGGATAGGCCCGATTACAGGCGCATAAGGATTTATCATGCAATTCGTGGATACTCTTAATTACACTCCTTATCGTACTTTAACTCCGGCCTTTTTTAATTGCCGAGTACTGGACAGCTGTTCCATTGTGAACGGAGCTTCATTGGTCGCACGAATTAATTCCATCCTGGTCCTCTGGTTTCCGGTGTCCGTCGGACACACGATTTTCATCCCCCGAACGTAACGGTACATGCGAATAGTCATTCGAACAGCTCAGTCCCAACCTAACCCTAAGACTTGTATCAATGTAAATTTGACCTAACCTAACACATGAATTTAAAGCATTTAACGTCGAAGACCCCGAGGAATGATTATCTGGCTGTTTCAGCTCCTGGTAAGCGGCGGCCAGCCGACGACGGCGACGTCGCCGGCAATGTCGTCGGGCGGCGCCCTGAGTCCCGGAGCGCTGTCGCCGTCCTCGACCGCCACGACGACGACCGGCGCCGCACCTGGTGCCTCCGGGGGCGCAACTACTCCCGTGGGTGGTTCCACCGGACCTGGGGCAGGATGCTGCGAAAATGGCAGGCCCATGATGACCGATCCTGTCACAGGACAGACAGTGTGCTCCTGTCAGTATGACAGCGCTGCGAGGCTGGCCCTTGGTGCTTACCCTAGACTGGCACCAACAGCCACCTCGTATTCCTCGTACCCTACCCCAACGCCATCTACCACGGATCAGGGTCCTTACCCCAGCATCGGCATGGACAGCTCTGCCTTTTACTCGCCACTGGTGAGTCCTGACTTCCTCATTATCATCCAGGGTACCTGTACTCCGCGTCTACCCAGCACCCACTGGGCACTGGACTGACCTTGGACAAGTGGACCAGACCCTTCATCATGTGGACTGAACCTAACCCAAACGCTGGTATCTCGATCGCTATGGATATACTTAGGAGTGAGTCTGTCTTCACGTGGGTGGAACAGGAGACGGTCGACCGATCATCCTTAGGCACAGTTCTCATTTGCGCGACGGTAGCTTGTTATTTATTGACGCCGGTTACAATCGGCGTAATCCAGCACTTCGTCGACCGCACGTCCAACTCGAACGGTAGCCGCTACGCGGCGCTGTCGTGCGAAGTCTCGTAAGATGTATCGAAAAGATAATTCAAAATACGCCGTCCCCTCCACATCCTCGCGGTTAAATTCCAGAAGCTTCTAGAACAAACGTGCTCGCAAAACACGCGTTGAAATCGCTCGACCCCTCTCTCTCCTTACTTCCTCCTACCTACCACTCGACCACCGGTACCACCTACTGTACTTACATCGACACCTTTTGGTATACGTGCACGTAACCTCTGTCTCCACCTACGTTACCTTCCACCTTTCGCTCTGGGAATCCGAGCACGTACCACCGGCAGCCCGTAGGTATTATTTATTTAACGATAATCAGCGCCAAATTGAATTTCCAATGTTTCGTACGTATACTCTTAACTTCCATGCGCGGCCAATTACCTTTCTTTTCATCTTTAGGGTAAATGATTTTTATAGTCAATTAATATAATTTAACGACGACCATCGCGACTCAGGTAAATCGAATAGGAAAATATGGACTTTCGATAATATTATTTATTATTCATCGATTATTTTGTCATTCGTGATTACATATATCGGTTGTAGCTGACCGAGTGGTAATATTCGGCGTGTCGCGACGAAGTTACACGATTCTTGTCGCTCGGTGTAAGACGGTAGTGAATACGCGATGAGAACTCAACGCGAAACTCGCCTTAAGGCGGATGCGAAGGAAACGGTTTTTAGGTATCCGACGTGGAAGGTATATAAGCTCGACCAATTAAATTTGAATTTATCGGCGTAATTATACTAATTGGTCGCTTTTAGGATGTCCTGTCAATTAATTTATCTCGTGGCGCGCTTTAGGCCACATCACCAACCGGCGACCGAATTCCTTCTGTTTATTCGTAATAACACCTTTTCTCTTATCGCCTTTAGTCGCTCACTGTCAAGGCCAGTCACGAATCCATTCGTCTCGGCAACCTCGCCAAGTTTTCCTCGTCAGTCTGCTGGCTAAGTCGTATCCTCCTGTCAGCTTTGAAAACGCGGCTTGCTCTTTCAAGCCATCAGCTGGTTAGGTCGCCTGTATGGCTATACCTGTAACGTGAATTTTTTGCTTCCAGTCGAAATTAAATCACGAAAATTTTGTCGGTGTCGGTGCGAGCGACTGTCGCTTCCGGTACGTTCTATAGGTTGACTCTGACGATGTTGCGCAATTAAAGCAGTTATCACAATTGGCGATAACGATTAATATCGTTAGAGCGTTATCGCCTTTACTCAATAAAACGCCACGGGTGAGGATTCAATTGCAGGTTCGGATGGTCTTGAAAAAACTGAAATACGTCTCTTGAAAAAAATTCCATACGCATTTGCACATATGCTCGATTGCCGATACCTGGATCTGGAGTATTTTCTTTTTATTTTTTTTTATTTTTCTTATTTTCCGTACGACTGCCAAGACTCCTTCCGAGGAAACAAAAAAAAAAGCAGTGAAATTCACTCCATAGCGACGCAGAGGCACGAGTCTATAGAATCAATACAGTCCCCCCGGAGGGTTGGGTGGGTTACTGGTAAAGGGATGCTGCGAGAAACAAGAAGAGTGCCGATGAAGATGGGACTGGACGTCTCGTCAACCGAGAGGATTTGTCTTATTCGAATGCGACGTGTAACGTATTTCGATTCGTAGCCGAAACCCACTTACGTCTTGTCTTTGCCAAACTCAGACTACAGAAAGAGATTCAATCTCGCGGGTACAGAGTATGTTAAAAAATAACATTGGCTGATCTCATCTACACTGGACCCACATAGGTATCAGTATATCAGTATGTAAAATAATTCGTATTTGAATAATAGAAAGAGCCACGTCAATTAGTACATCGGTATGATTAATTAATAAGGGCAGGCTGCCAAGTGGACCGAGTATGGGTATGTCACGAGATGGATCTTTAAATCGGGTAAGCACGTGCTTCCGACTTTGGTACAGTAGGTAGTCCCCTGGTCGGTTACGCGAGGGAACACACGTTCTACCCAACAAGCATTATAATATAATAAGAATCGGATTAGCATTGAATGAAGTGGCCGAGAGCCAACAAGGGCAGTAAGTCCCGCGTGCACGGTGGTCCCGGCCTGAAAAAAAGGAGTAAGGCCCCGATTCCGCCTGGTCCCAGGCCTTCTGAATCGGATGGGTCCTGGAGTTGGCCCCGCCGAGTATACCCCTACAATGAGACTGGTGGCAGCCCA